GGGGACAAGGGGAAAAAATGAGAACCAAGACCTGGCATGTAAAGGTACAAGATCCCAGTAATGAATGTAACTGTACTGTCTACCTAGAATATACCAATAAATTCAATTTAAAATTAAAAAAAAAAAGTTTTCTGTCCTTTCACTTTCAGTCTATGGGCTTCATTTTACACTAGACATGTCTTGTATACAACATATTATTAGATCTTGCTTCTTAATCCATTCTGCTGGTCTATTTCTCTGGGTTGGTGAATTGAGGCCATTAATATTGATGGTTATAACAGATATATACTAACTTATTATTATCATGGTTTTTTTTTTTTTCGCCTTCTCCTTTTAGTTTCTTGGCTTGCCTATTTGATTTGCTCTGTTGGGCCTCATTGTGTTGTTACCTTCATTGTCTTTTTCTAGGATATTGTTTAGAATTCATTGTAGTGCTGGTTTGGTATTCATAACGTTTCTCAAGTGTTCTTTATCCTAGAAATATCTTATTTCCCCAACCATTGTAAAAGAAAGTTTTGCATGATACATCAGTCTAGGATGGAGGTTGTTTTCTTTTAGTACTTGAAATATCTCATTCCAGGCTCTCCTTAACCTAAAGGTTTGTATTGAAAATTCTGCTATAATTCTGATAGGCTTTCCTTTGCATCTAATTTGTTTCTTGTCTCTTACTGCTTGTAGTATTTTGTTCTTTTGTTGGGTTTCTGGGATCTTGATTATTATATGTCTAGCTGTAGATTTTTTTTATCATGGCTAGTTGGAGTCCTATATGCCTCACTTATCTGTATGTCAAATTCCTCCCCTCTATTTGGGAAGTTTTCTATAATTAATTCTGTGAACAGCTTTTTTAAGTCATTTACATTTTCTCCTACTACTTCTTGAATTACTATCAATCTTATGTCATTCTTCTTAGTATCGTCTAAGAGTTGTTGTATCAATTTCTCATGATCTACTGTTTTTAAGAAACCTCTCTTTTCACCGTCACTGACTTCAATTTTATCTTCTATATCTGAGATTCTATCTTCAGACTCTTTTATTCTTTTGTGAACAGTCTTAATAGAGTTTTTAATCTCCTAGATATCTGTCTGAATCTGTCCTATGGATTCCATTCTTTCTTGTATTGGGGATTTATTGTTTCCAATTCTTTCTTATGCTGGGAATTCATGGCTTCTATTGTGGTCCTGAGCTCATCCATTTTCCTCTCAGTTTCTGTTCTAGAGTCACGAATTATAACTTTCATTTTGCTTGTCATTTCTATGATTATATGGGAAATTACTTCTGTTTTATATTTCTCTAGAGCCTGACTGATCAGTTTTGTTACTTCCTGTGCTTTGAGTTCAGGGTGTCCTGATGATTCACTATCAGACTTTTCATCCTCATTTGCCCCACTATTTGCCATTGGTGAACTGGAAGTCTGTCCCTGTATCTTGCTTAAGCATTTTCTCATTTTTACTATTATTGTTGGGTTATCCTTAGTTTCTAACCTTTAGATTATTACTTAACTCTTCCTGATATAGTTGGGCTGCAGCCCATGGGTCTCTAATGACTAACAGACATTCTCATTTTCATCATACTGAAGAAAGCAGTTCATTGAATCAATCACAATCCTTTATCCTAACTGATATAATCAGCACCACAATATAATGAAGCACAATTTGCAAACTGACCACTTATAGCAGTCATCAATCTATCACCATCAAACCACGTAAATTTAATTAAGATCAAGAAGCAATCCAAAATATGCTTACAGTAAATAAAATTTTCAAAAAGGATATTTACCATTTACAATGGGGGCTTAAAACAAAGTTAAGACAGGAGGAGTAGATAAGTACAAGAATTAGAGAAGGTTTCATATGAAGCCCAAAGACATAGAATGACCAGACAATCGTCAGGAAGTTGTTAAATTCAAAAAGAACAAACGAAATAGAAATATAGTAACCCTTGAGTGAGGTAGAATACCATAAGAATAGAACATAAAGCAAAGAGAAAAAAATAATAAAAGAAGAAATCTGAATTAGGACAAGAGCAGAAACAAAAAGAGAGATGAGGGGTACTCTACTGAAGTAAGACTGAGTTAGAGAAAGAAAAAACAAGAATTTGCAGAGTAGGATGAAAAAAAGAAACAAAAATGAGTTTAAAGGGCCTCTTTCAGACTATATCACTGCTGTCATAATATACAATATGTGCTGCCATGTGCAGAGCCAAGTCCCCCCCTGACCTCAGCTAGCTGGTGGCAGAACCCCACAAAGCAGACTGAGCTCGGGCTGCAAGGCCCAGACTGAGTTCCCCGACCTCCTGAAGGGCTGAACTCCACTCAGTTCTACTATGTTTTCCCCACCACTTCTTTAAAGATGTTCAAAGTTGAAAGTGCCAGAAGATACTCTTTATGACCACCTCTGCCTCTGCAGAGTAGGTCCAAAGACTGGTACAATCACGAGGTCTAAAAGCGCAAGGGGGAAGGTTGGGGGGGTTCGGGGGTGCCCGCGCGGTTACCTTTCTAGCGCTGAAGATGGCGGCCGGCAGCGCCAGCAGGGGAGGGCGTGGCCGAGAAGACCCTCTGGGGCTGAAGATGGTGGGAAGTCCTCTGGGGAGGGCACGGCTGAGAAGAGATTCTGGTGCTGAAGATGGCCGAAGGCTACAGGGAGGGCGTGGCCGAGAAGAGCCTCTGACGTTGACGCAGCCCGGAAGGGCGTGGCCAAGAAGACCCTCTGGCGTTCACGCAGCCCGGAAGGGCGTGGCCGAGAAGAGCCTCTGGCATGACACAGCCCTGGAAGGCGTGGCCCAGAAGACCCTCTGGCGCTGAAGATGGTGGAAAGCTCTCAATGAGCTAGATGAGCTGAGATAAGCCCCTAGGGAAATTAGAACTCTGTTTGGGTCAGATGAGACATCAAAAATTTGCCTGTCCAGGAGAACACATATGACCCCAGTTAAGTGTTCTGGGCAATAGTCTTCCTCAAGAGACTGAACTTGAGACCCTTGTCTACAGCATTGATGGTCTAAAAGTGTGTTTTGCTGGTGTCAGAGACCTCTGAAGTAGGTTCTGATCTTTTTTTTGGTGCTACGGCACAAGGCTGGCTGAGGAGTTCCCAGTCGTGTCCCAAGTGCTGGGATTACAGGCATGTGTGACCACACCTCGCTAAATTTATATTATTATGATCCAAAAATAAACCTCAGTGTGTGTGGTTTCCATAAGGAGCAATTATGGATTTGGTGATACTTTGGCCTCTTCTTTTTACTTTCATTTGTTTGTTTTGTTTTTGGTACCAGGGATCAAACTTGGATTTTTGCGAGGCAAGCAGTGGCACCAGCCCCATCATTTTTTATTTTTATCAAGAAAGTACAGTTTCCTTTATAAGTGAGACCTGGCCTTTTTCTGGGGGGGGCAAAAAAAAAAAAACCTACTGAACGTCTTACTTTCTCAAATATTCCAAAGTAAAGCTTTAATAAATCAGGCTCTGCCTTGTCATTAAAAAAAAAAAAAAAAA